TTTTCAACGTTTATTTATTTTTGTGACAGAGAGAGACAGAGCATGAACGGAGGAGGGGCAGAGAGAGAGGGAGACACAGAATCGGAAACAGGCTCCAGGCTCTGAGCCATCAGCCCAGAGCCTGATGCGGGGCTCGAACTCACAGACTGCGAGATTGTGACCTGGCTGAAGTCGGACGCTTAACCGACTGCGCCACCCAGGCGCCCCAAGAATCCTTTCTTAATACATATAATAGAGTTCACAATAACTTCCATGTCCACTTAAATTTGAATATAAATTCTACTAGATCTATTTCTTCCTCTTCCTCCAACTTAAATTCTTTATTTCGTTTTAATTTTCCTTGTCTGTACTCTTCCCTCACAAAGAATTGGTTCCTTCTAGTGATCTCTTATCTTACATAAAGGTACTCACAAGCTATGCTCCATCTGCTCCTCACCTTCACTGTGGAATCTAAAACATAAATATGTTTAAGACTCTATCTGCACAAAGTAGGCTAGGCTTTCCCCGACGTAGATAATTTATCCTAACAGTTGAGTGAATCACTTTAGCACACAGCTTGGAAAATGAGACAGCCAGAGTTTTGAACTCAGGTACCACCATCTTTCCAAAATCTTCTGCATTCTCAGATAAGTTGGGACCTAACTTTAAAATCAACCCTCAGGGCGCCTGCGTGGCTCAGTCAGTTAAGCGTCCAGGTTGAGCGTCCAACTTTGGCTCAGGTCATGATCTCGCGGTTTGTGAGTTCGAGCCCCACGATGGGCTCTGTGCTGACAGCTCAGAGCCTGGAGCCTGCTTTAGATTCTGTGTCTCCCTCTCTCTGCCCCTACCCTGCTCACATTCTGTCTTTGTCTCTCTCAAAATAAATAAACATTAAAAAATATATATTTAAAATCAAACCTCCCACAACACCCTAGGAAAAAAATACGTGGCTATATATATAACAAAATGTTACTACATAAACGTGCACATAACCCAGTAGGAAAATGGGCAAAAGGTATGCATTGACAAATTCACAAAAGAAAAACATATATGGTCAATAAATACAACAAAAAATGTTCATTAGTCATCATAAAAATACAAATTAAAATATAAAAAGCACCAGATTATAAAAACTATAATTGGAGAGAGCACAATGAACTATGCATCACACACAAAAAATATAACCTAGTACAACCTTTTAGAGGTTATCTGTATCTGATTTAAATTATAATTTCTAGAAATTTATCCTATGAAAATAATCAAGAAAATGTTATTCTCAACATCCTAATATTGCTTCCTTTCTTTCATACCATATATCAACATCTGACTTGCACTTATCTATTGTTTCTCTTTCTTCCACTAGAATATAAGCTTATTGTTTTGTTTTTTTTTGTTTTTTTTTTCAACGTTTATTTATTTTTGGGACAGAGAGAGACAGAGCGTGAACGGGGGAGGGGCAGAGACAGAGGGAGACACAGAATCGGAAACAGGCTCCAGGCTCTGAGCCATCAGCCCAGAGCCTGACGCGGGGCTCGAACTCCCGGACCGCAAGATCGTGACCTGGCTGAAGTCGGACACTCAACCGACTGCGCCACCCAGGCGCCCCGAATATAAGCTTATTGTATGCAAGTACCCAAACAGTACTTGCCATATATTAGGCATGTGATGAATAGTGGTTGTTGACAGAATGTATAAAGATTTATCTTTAAGAATTTTCCAAACTGTGTGGTTTTAAAACAAAAATGTTGGAAAAATCCAACATCCAACAGCAGGGGACTGATTAAAAAAAAAAATTATCAACAAGGACAACTATATAACTGTTAAAAATTAGTCTACAAAAAAACTATAGGGGCACCCGGGTGGCTCAGTTGGTTATGCATCTTGACTCTTGATTTTAGCTCGGGTCATGATCTCATGGTTTGTGAGTTCAAGCCCCACATTGGGCTCTCTGAATGTCCAGTGCAAAGCCTGCTTAGGATTCTCTCTCTCCCCTCTCTCTGTCCCTCCCTGCTTGCACTGTCTCTCTCTCTCTCTCTCTCTCTCTCTCAAAATAAGTAACTATAAATGTTTGTGATACTATTATATGACCTCATTTTTGTTAAAAAGAAAAAATGGGAAAATATATGCAAAGATAAAAGACAGGTAACACAATATCACATCAAGATGTGAACAGTGGATATCTATGAGATGGCAGGATTATAGGTAACTTTTTTGTTCTTACTTACGGTTTCCTGTATTTTTCAAATTTAATTTTTCTGGAATGAACATAATTCTTTTTTAATAAGTCAAAAAAATTATTCAAAACGAACTAAAACCAAAACCAAAACTTCTTCATTTCTAGTTCAAATGAGAAAAAGGCAAGTTTACCTTCAATTTCATCTTCGGAAATCAATTCATCATCAGAGCATATGTTGAGAACGTTAACCAGCATCTCTGTGACTATACAATAAGACAAAATAACCCAAAATTTATACAATTATTAAGGTACTTTCTCTATAATGATGTGGCTGTCTAAACATACACATTAAATAAACATAGACAAAAATGATTTGTCATTATGCTACTAAGAGTATTCATAAAGAGTAGCATTAAATCTAGACCTTTGGGTTTATATAGAATTTGGGGAAATTACTTGCTTCAATGAAAGTTCGGTCTTGATGATTCTATTGCATTAATTACTTGATTTCATGAGACTGCTGTCCAGAACCTTTTCCTCACTGATATGTACATGAAAAGATTTCTTCCCACTTTACAAAGAAGTTAAGCCACCATGTCTATGTCCAACAGACTTATTTTATATTTGCATAGCTTATTTGTATAGGTGCACAAATGAAATTCTAAGGACAGTATTTTCTTTTTAAATATCTTTACCACTGAAGAAATCCCTGAAGGAATGGTGTAGTGACTTATGTTATTTTAACATCTTGATCACAGTAGGATAGCTATTTTAAGTTGATATTTACAATAAGAAGAACATAAACGACTAGAACTTTAACTTAAAAACCAAGTACCATTTAAAAACCTTTGTAGAGAACAAAGAAAATTCGAAAATACTTCTTATAACTTTAAGAAAAACATTTCTGAACCATCAGGAGACTCATGCAAATATAAAAGTGTACTCCATTACTAATTAAGACAACTGATAGCCCAGATGCTTTAGTTCCTTACCTTTTTCCCCAACAAAAGGCAAAGACCATGTGAAAACATCCATAAAGTTTGGAAGCCAGTAGGGGTGTGGAGAACAGTTAAACTGCCTGATATTCATGACATTGTTTTCATATTTTAACACAGCAGCTAAAAAGGAAAAAGCAAGAGAATCTGGCACAGAGGAACATGACACAGCAACTGGCATGCTTCATACAGCTGCATACCTACTAAACAGAATTCAGGAACTTACTCTCCATTTGTAAATTCAGGCCTCGGTATTTAAGAGCAGATGGAAAATCTTAAAGCATTTTATACACCTCATTCTTTTAAGAATTACCCCAAGGAACAAAGTCACCTGAAGATCCCATATAATAAAAGTACAAAAGAAACTGAGCTCTGAAACTTCAAAGGGCCACTGCACAGTAACCATCTATAGAAATCTCAGGTTCCACATTAGAAAAATGTTGTCATAATTTCCCTTTATAGGCCAAATGGTTACAATTACAGCTCTCTTTTGAAGGCAAACATTTTTCATTAAATGAACACAGCCTATTTTGCTAGTCATTATCCAGAGCCAAAGATTTTATAAACTCTGGGAGTTTATAGCATAGCAATTATCAATTCACAGTGGGGGATACAGATGGTAAACTTAGAGCAATTTACAAGGCTCAAAAGTAGATTAAATAATCTACATATATAAAGAGGATTAAAACAGCCATCTCTCCTATACACAGCCAGTATATTGCTAGCACTGTATAAATGTTTAAATTAACCAGTTTATTTATTTGTACACATACTGTGGTACCAAACTAATTTTCTTTATATTTTAAAAGTTTTGAAATCCAATTTCTTGGACTTCACCATGAGCAAAAGCACTGTGATGTTGTTTGCATTATTCTCTTTACTCTTATTGTGATCATAAATAGAATCGGGTATGAAGTACTCCAGAAATGAGGTACAGGTCATTCCCTGGTTCCCGTTTCTTTGCTTATTAAATGATTGCCTAGTGTGCTCAAAATGTAAATTACTGGCTGTCTAAAATGTACATCATGAAGAAAATACATGAAAGTAGGATTGCCTGCTCTTAAAAACCTGCCACTAGATACAATGTTTTCATGTATATGTATTTTATTATGCATATATTTTACTCAATAATTCCCTCAATCTACACAGGAAAAAGAGGTGAAAGGTGGGTCTTTACAGTGGATAATTATAAATGAACGGATAAAAAAAATTGTTTTTGTGTACGTTCCCAGTGGAAACAAAAAAATAGGAATAGAAATCTTTATAAATTATGACTTAAGGACCTTTCACATAATCATTGGAACTAAGAATTACTTGTTGGTACCAATATGCAAGAAAGAAAAGCAACAGAAGAAGAGAGAGAAAAAGAAAAGGGGAAGTGAATTGTCTTGCAAGACAAGTGGTCTTGTCTTTCAAGAAAAGAAGTACTTCTGTGGGGAGTAATTGAGTACCAGCAGACATTGGTTCAGATGCCACATTTTCTTTTTCCTAAAAAAAAATTTTTTTTGAGAAAAAGCAAGGAAAATAAGAATGTTTCAAGATAAAGTTACCGGTTATATCAAAGTCAAGAGAAAATTCCAGTAAACTGGACTGTGACTTTAAAAGTTTGCTAAAGGAATAATCAAGATCAATACCAGGTTAGAATGGGCCAAAAATGAGCTGGTGTTCAGTGAGTCAGTAAAATGACTGCTGTTTTGGGTGGCACGTTTTAGTTGAGCACACCGATAAATCCACCGTGCAATCAAGAGACACACTTACCAGCTGAGGTCTAAAAAGGGAGAAGGGACAGTCTTCATCACAAATATGAGGACTATAGCCACTAAGTGTCCTTGAAGAAGTTACCAACACAAGCAACACACACCATTCACAATGGAAGAAACAAGAACAAAACTAAGTCTCTAATATATTGGGCATATTAGGAAGAAGGAAATAACAAACAATGGAGTCAGGGAGAAGCTGAGTGTTGTGGCTAGACAGCTAAGACTCAGAAAAGAATGACGAGATGTAAAGAACTATATGGCTGGGGGAGAACTTAAGCCAAAGAAGTGTTTTTAAAAATGAATAGGAAGCCACTGAAGGACACACTAAGATGACTGATTCAAATCAGATTGAAATGAGATGTGCCATTCCATAGTTTCCCTTTACACAGGCTCAGGTTATGTAGTGAGTATACTGTGGACTGCTTTTAAACTTGACTCCCCACCTGCATATACAAGGTATGACTATAAAGTAATGAGACTTAAGAAACCACCAACTACAAACACACCAGACCTTATATATGAGATGAGTGTGGCCCTTTGACATAGTCATACGAGGCACAACTGTAAAATGTTATAGTACTACAGCAATGTGGAGTTTCATGGATGCTTTTTAATATTTATTTTTATTATTCCAACTTATCTTCAACAACTCTATATGGCAGGTATTTTAAAGATACACTGAGGCTCAGAGAAGTTAAATATCTTATTGATGTGAAATTAAGTGTCATGTTTACTGTAGACTGAAAAGTGAAGCAGGGCTAGACTAGATTTTCTGACTCAGCTTATTAGTGCTCTTTTCAATACACCTTGCTGCCTTACCGTATATTTAATCCAAAGATGCTGCCATTACTCAAAACATTTTTGGAACTCCTCTTGTGGAATTGCCTCCAGACCCATTTTATAAGCAACACAAGAAAAACCAGTCTCATTACCCTATAATCATACCTTGTTTCTGACCCCAAATGGTACCATCTAGCTTGATCACTCACCTTATTCACCAGTCTTGACTCCGAATAACTTTTGGCTGTTCCAAAAATCAAATCCACCCTCAAAGGACGAAGGTTTCCCATCACTGAGGATAATCAAAAGAATGTGTCGCAGATTCTGAAGGCAATGCCAAAAGAGGAGTTCCAAAAACGTTTTGAACAATGGCAGCATTGTTGGAATAAGCGTGTAGCTTCCCAAGGTAACTACTGTGAAGGGACAATACTCACTTGGATATATACGTTCTGGCATGTTTGTATTAAAGTTCTATTATTTTATAGTCATACTTTATAAACAACAAAATAGTTACAGAGGATGTTACAGAGGATATTACAGAGGAAGTCTGCCGTGCTACAAAACTTAAAAACTATGAATCTTAAAAAATTAAAAAAAAAAAAAAAAAAAAAAAAAAAAAAAAAGAAAGAAAGGAAAAGAAGATTTCAGGGCACCTGGCTGGCTCAGTCAATAGAGCATGTGACTCTCAATCTCAAGGTCATGCGTTCAAGGCCCACATTGGGCATACTTAAAAAGAAAAAATTTCAATAGGATAAAGTCTTAGAATGAGAACTTCTGGACTGAAGGCATATTTATACTTAATCCTCTTTTTTAATATGGGAAATTGAGGTTTAGAAAAATTACATGACAGACCTAAAGTTACACTACTAGTTTCTGGCAGGGATTGGACTAAAATGATTTTTCTTAATTTTTTATGGTATTCACTCTGCCTGTACCATTCCTCAAGAAAACCAAAAACAGCTTAATAATGTACAAACATTAAAACACCAAACAGTGACATTTTATTGAGGTACTGTTACAAATGAATTCACCAAAACTAATAATTTATGGTGACTATTCTAACTTGAACCTGAAGTAATTTATTTGTCTTATATTTTGATTCAGGAGTACAAATCAAACCTATTATTTATTTACAGAGCCCAATACTTCTTAGGAAATGAAAACCAAGCAGGAGCCTAAATTCTAAGTTTCTTGGCCTTTGTTTCAACTAAGACCTCTTTTCTTTTTATTTAAAATTTACATATGTTTTAAAACCACACACACATATGATTAAACTAGAGCTCACATTTACTCACAAATTCAAACTCAAATATCGCTGGACTCTTTTACCTTTATTGTTATAGACATCTAGGTAATTGGGGGCAGAGAAAATTGTAATGAGTGATGGAAAGCCTGTTGTTTGGCTCTTCCTGTACATTCGATACCTGGAAGAGAAATAACAGTCCGTCTGTCTTAATAATAAAGGCAAAAACTCCACAGTGATATCTGGTACAGTATAAATCTAACTTACCCAGCATCTTGGGCTTCATGGGCTCTGATTATTGATAACAAATTATTGTTCTGCAAAAATTCACAAACTGCAGGGTAACTGGAATAGAAAATTAGAAAATATAAATCCAGAACTAAAACAACTGTTTTTTAATAGGAGGAAGGGGAAAAGTCAAGATGACATTAGTTGAATTTGTTTCAAAAAGACAGGTTTTTGACATACCACTGGACTTTTATTGTTTGTTTGATTGTTCATTTATTTGAGAGACAGAGAGAGAGAGAGCAAGCAGGGGAGGGGCAGAGAGAGAGGGAGGGAGACAGAATCTGAAGCAGGTTCCAACCTCTGAGCTGTCAGCACAGAGCCTGGCGCAGGGCTCAAACCCACAAACCTCAAGATTATGACCTGAACTGAAGTCGGATGCTTAACCGACTGAGCCACCCAGGCACCCCACCACTGAACCTTTATTTATGGCTTAGCAATCATCACTGTTTTTCTACTTCATGAATATAACTCATTCCAGATCAAATATACAGGTAACAGATAACCTTACGACAGAAAAAAAGCTCCTTTACCTTTTAACTGTCTTTGTCTTAATCCATAATAATATAAAACCAAAACTTTTCTTTGTGTCTTGATATAAAAAAAGTACCAGAGAGAGGGGGAGAGAGAGAGAGAGAGAGAGAGAGAGAGAGAGAGAGAGAGAGAGAGAGAGGTGTGAGAGAAAGACAGAGAAAGATTATTAGTTGCTAAAAATTGAATACACAATTTTCAAACTGTCAAATGGTTTGAAAAGTTAAAGAATCTACTAACAGCTTCACAGGTAATATCTATGCCAAATTAATATTATACAGGAATATTTTAGGAGTAAATACAAATATTACACCCAACCGTATTCTAATGAAAGGTCTGATATTTACATCTGCTCCTAACATTCTCTTTCAGTAATGTTATCTTTCTACATTTAGAAATACCTGATAGGAAGAACTGGAAAATACCAAATTATCCTGGAATTATCCAAGTGTTAATTATTTACTTTATCATTATTTATTTTGAGAGAGAGAGAGAGAGCACTAGCATGGGAAGGGCAGAGACAGGGAGAGACAGAATCCCAAGCAGGCTCAGCATCGGCAGTGCAGAACCCAGTGCAAGGCCTGAACCCACAAACTGTGAGATCATGACCAAGAATCATGAACTGAGACCAAGAGTTGGATGCTTAACCGACTGAGCCACTTAGGTGCCCCAATTATTTACTTTATGTTTAAATCTTTGTTTCTTATGATGCTCATTAGAAAATACTAACTTTTAAAATAGATTGTACATTCATTTGGTATAAAATTGAAGATACAAATGATTATACAATGAAATACCTCCCTTCTCTCGTTTTTTTTAAAATTTATTTATTTATTTTTAGTAATCTCTACACCAAACATGTGGCTCAAACTCTCAACCCCAAGATCAACTGAGCCAGCTAGGCACCCCAAATGCCTTCCTTCTTCCTACATATAGCTTCCAGCTACCCTAGAAACAACCAATGTTCCTAGTTTCTTTGAGTATTCTTTTTTTCCCAACGTTTATTTATTTTTGGGACAGAGAGAGACAGAGCATGAACGGAGGAGGGGCAGAGAGAGAGGGAGACACAGAATCGGAAACAGGCTCCAGGCTCCGAGCCATCAGCCCAGAGCCCGACGCGGGGCTCGAACCCACAGACCGCGAGATCGTGACCTGGCTGAAGTCGGACGCTTAACCGACTGCGCCACCCAGGCGCCCCTATTTCAAACTTTTTAAATTGTTATTATATTTGTTATGGTGATCTGTGATCAGTGATTAAAACCACTGAAATCTCAGATTATGGTTAGTATTTTTGGCAATATTTTTAAATTAAGATATGTACATTGTTTTTTAGACATAATGTTATTGCACACTCAATAGACTACAGTATAGTGTAAACGTAACTTTTTCATGCACTGGGAAACAAAAAAATTCATTTGACTCACTTTATTTTGATATTTGCTTTGTTGTGGTGGTGTGGAACAGAACCAACTATATCTCCAAGGCATGCCTGTAGAACATCTTTTAAAGAATACTCAAAGAGGGGCGCCTGGGTGGTGCAGTCGGTTAGGCGTCCGACTTCAGCCAGGTCACGATCTCGCGGTCTGTGGGTTCGAGCCCCGCGTCGGGCTCTGGGCTGATGGCTCGGAGCCTGGAGCCTGTTTCCGATTCTGTGCCTCCCTCTCTCTCTGCCCCTCCCCCGTTCATGCTCTGTCTCTCTCTGTCCCAAAAATAAATAAACGTTGAAAAAAAAAATTTTTTTAAAAATAAATAAATAAAAAATAAAAAGTTTGAAATATAGGGAGAATTACCAAAATGTACACAGGGACATGACATGAGCAAATGCTTTTGGAAAAATAACACCAAGAGACCTGCTCAACACAGGACTGCCCCAACCTTCAATGTGTAAAAAAACTCAGTATCTATGAAGTACAATATAGCAAAGTGCAATAAAACAAAGTATGCCAGGATTTTACATCAGTGTACAAAGTTTTTTGTTTTTTGTTTTTTTTTCTTTTTTAAAAACAGCTTCACTGTATAGTCTGGCACGTTCCATTGTCTGAATATACCACAAGGTATTTAACTAGTCTTCTATTGAACATCTAGATTGTTTTAAATCTTTTATCATAAATAATACAGCAGTGAGGGGTGCCTGGGTGGCTCAGTTGGTTAAGTGTCTGGCTTAAGTGTCAAAATTAACAGCATGGAGCTTGCTTGGGATTCTCTCTTTCTGTCCCTCCTCTACTCATGTTCTTTCAAAATAAATAAACATTTAAAAAGATAATAATAGGAGTGCCTGGGTGGCTCAGTCAGTTAAGCTTCCGACTTCGGCTCAGGTCATGATCTCGCGGTTCATGAGTTCAAGCCCCGCGTCGGGCTCCATGCTGACAGCTCGGAGCCTGGAACCTGTTTCAGATTCTGTGTCTCCCTCTCTCTCTCTGACCCTCCCCCGTTCATGCTCTGTCTCTCTCTCTCTCAAAAATAAATAAACGTTAAAAAAAAAATTTAAAAAGATAATAATACAGCAATGAATATAACCTTGAACCATTGACCCTTAAATAATGTAGGGAGTGCTAACTCCCTGCACAGTCAAAAATCTGTGTAACTTTTTATAACTGTGCAACTGTATAACCTTTTTTCACATGTATTACTCTTTTGAAGTAGGCGCCATGCCCAATGTGGGGCCTGAACTCACAACCCTGAGATCAAGAGTTGCAGGCTCTACTTACTGAGCCAGCAAGGCACCCCTCATGTACATAACTATTGACTCCCCCAAAATTTAATTACTGGCCTGCTGACCAGAAGTATTACCCGTAACAGTCAACTGACAGATATTCTGTATGTTGTATGTATCATATACTGTATTCTTATACTAAAATAAGCTGGAGAAAATAAAATGTTCTTAAGAAAACCATATGGAAGGGGGCGCCTGGGTGCCACCGCCAATTGAATATCTGACTTCGGTTCAAGTCATGGTCTCATGGTCCATGAGTTCAAGCCCCATGTCAGGCTCTGTGCTGACAGCTCAGAGACTGAAGCCTGCTTCAGATTCTGTGTCTCCCTCTCTCTCTGCCCCTCCCCCACTCACACTGTCTCTGTCTCTCAAAAAATGAATAAACATTAAAAAAAAATTTTTAGGGGCGCCTGGGTGGCGCAGTCGGTTAGGCGTCTGACTTCAGCCAGGTCACGATCTCGCGGTCCGTGAGTTCGACCCCCGCGTCAGGCTCTGGGCTGATGGCTCGGAGCCTGGAGCCTGTTCCCGATTCTGTGTCTCCCTCTCTCTCTGCCCCTCCCCCGTTCATGCTCTGTCTCTCTCTGTCCCAAAAATAAATAAAAAACGTTGAAAAAAAAATTTTTTTTTAAATCATAAAGGAGAAAAAATACTTTTATAGTGCTGTATTATATTTATATAAAGAATCCATGTAGGGGCGCCTGGGTGGCTCAGTTGGTTAAGCATCTGACTCTTGATTTCAGCTCAGGTCATAATCTCATGGCTCTCACGATCTCTGTGATGACAGTGTAGAACCTGCTTGGGATTCTCTCTCTCACCCTTTCTCTCTGCCTCTCACCCACCCTCTCTCTCTTAAAATAAATAACTAAACTTAAAAAAAAATCCATGTATAAGTGGACCTGCATAGTTCAAATGCATCGTGTTCAAGGGTCAGCTGTACATACATTTTACACATTTGCACATTTATATAGTTGATTCTTGTTATTTGCAGTAGCTATGTTCTATAAAGTTGTTGCAAAAACGGAATTAGTCAAAACTGAACCACTGCTCCTAGAGAAAATAACATAGGGTCCTGGAGCCTCTGGTCACATTTTCATTAATCAATCAATACATAACCTTGTTTTATGTGTGTTTCTGTTTAAGGACATCTTATTTAATACATACTGTTGATTCATTAACATGGAACTCATGGACAACAATGTCACAAATCATTCCTGAATTAGGTTTATATAACATACACGTATTTTCTCTGCAAGGCACATCACAGCCTTCTTACACATAGAAATACCAGATAGCACTTAAGCACTATGCTTGGGGGCCATTTTACACAGCAAAATTGCCAACAAAAAATGTGAAAAATGTTGCACTGAATGGATCACAGAAAGAATGGTATAATGGTAGTCTTGTAGTATGAAAGCTGGAAAAAGAAGGCAGAGCAGCTCCTTGTTAACCTCAGTTAGGAACACACATGGGGTGACTCGAATTTTGCATCACTCTGCATGTGTGCATGTCTGTGAATGACCACGAAAGTGTTTAAGTGGTGACCTTGCAGTTACAAGTAATTCTTAGCAAGTAGGCAAATTTACAGCTCAGAATTCATAAATAACGAGGATTGACTTATGGCTATAGGATTACATTTTAGAAGGACAACTCCTGGTTCAAAGGCCCTGGGTGGACATTTATAATTGAGAGATATTATCAAGCTGATCTCCAAGGAGACTGTACCAGTTTATACTGTACAAACAATAACAATAAAAAAATAAATGATGCTCTTTATTTTAAGCAATGTAAAGAGAAGTAAAAAAAATTTTTTTTAATGTTTATATTTGAGAGACAGAGACAGAGACAGAGAGACAGAGCACGAGTTGTGGAGTGGCAGAGAGAGAGGGAGATACAGAATCTGAAGCAGGCTCCAGGCTCTGAGCTGGGAGCACAGAGCCCGATGTGGGGCTCGAACTCATGAACCACGAGATCATGACCTGAGCTGAAGTTGGACGCTTAACCAACTGAGCCACCCACGTGCCCCAAGAGAAGTAAAATTTAAATGACTCAAAAAGGAATAAAACAAGGTTGCTTAGAAAAATGTTAAAACTATGGCAATTTTGAAGTTCTTTACTTTTTGTATGTGGATTTCACTTCATGAATATATTATCTTAGGCAATTAACAGATTTTTTAGGGGACTACATTTATGCATTACTTGTCACAGTAAAATATTGGAACTAAAAATATTTAGACTTCAAACCTCCCTCTACCTCCCTATTTTTGAACGGCAGAACACAATAAAAGCTCATGTGAGATTTAAGACAACAGCCAACTTCCAGGAAATGTCCTGGGCTTAGTTCACAATGTCCTGTTCTTTTTATATCTTTGCCTATAGCAGTGGTTCCAGAAGTTGGAGAGCTTTTAAAAAAATAACAGGATTTTCCTGTCTCAGACCTACTCAATCAGAATCTCTGGGGGAAGAGTCAACAAACCTTTATTTTATTTTATTTTTTTTTTTTAATTTTTTTTTTTCAACATTTATTTATTTTTGGGACAGAGAGAGACAGAGCATGAACGGGGGAGGGGCAGAGAGAGAGGGAGACACAGAATCGGAAACAGGCTCCAGGCTCTGAGCCATCAGCCCAGAGCCTGACGCGGGGCTTGAACTCACGGACCGCAAGATCGTGACCTGGCTGAAGTCGGACGCTCAACCGACTGCGCCACCCAGGCGCCCCAACAAACCTTTATTTTTAAAAAAGCTTATCAATGATGTTTGGGAACAAATAATCAAGATTATCTAGAGTCTGAAAATAACATTTAAGCACTGCAAGATACTCTGTTCAATCATGTTCAGTACATTACACTTAAGTATCATGAGGGTATTCATATATGAGGGCATAATGCCAATTAAGATATAAAACACAAAACAAACAAGAGTTTTCTGTCTTCTGTTAATTAAAAAATTAAACAGAAGGTCCGATACTATACAAATTAAAGATATAAAATACTTAAAAATAATTTGATGAAACATATTGCAATTGCCTTTCCTAATTTTATAACTTTGAGGATTAGCTTACCTGTAAAAATAAGAGCACCCTCGGACAGTGTTGTGGGTATAGTGCTCCAAGGTCTTTTCACTGCCATAATCCTCTGAGGGATCAGACCAAAGCAGGTCACACACTGGCCCAAAGGCTGGAGGTTCTTTAAACCTGTCTAACTAGAAGACACACAAGAGCCAAAAGAAGAAAAATCATGAAAGCAAAAGCCCTTTTGGAAACTGGTATGCATCAAAAACCCAAAAGCCAAAAACCTCCCACCCACAAGAATGTATTAGGGGAAAAAGCAGCAAGCACCTTAAAGAACTGTTCCTTTAGGAAGAATACAAACACTTAACAAACTTGGATATACAATTTTTATTATTTTCTTGAAATGAATTTTTATAAATATCTCTGTCATCTAAGAAAAGGACTGCTTTACATCCTAATACTAAAAGCAGTACTCATTTAATTCGAATGTGAAATCAACCACTATAGAGATATACTATTATTGAGAAAGGCTATGGAAAGTCTTCATTTCAACTGCCTAGGTAAGCTAAGGTTACCATCAAAGGAGCAAAGGTTTTACAATGGTTCTGTTCATTTTTTACCTCATCCCAATGGAGATTTCTAGTTTTATTTTGTAAAGGACTTTCATCCTTTCCATTCTATGCAGTGGAGGCATTTCAATGTAAGTTATCAATTTAAAGCCTTTAGTCACTGCTGCTTTGGTTAGCAGCGTAAAAACCAAGACAAAATGAGTAACTAAAATAGCTGAGGACTTCTACTAAGTGAAAGGAGAGTGTTTTTTTAATACAGTTGGTTCAGAATTGTGAAACTCAAGACTTACAATGTAAAAGAGAAATTCTGGTTATTTTAAAGATGATAAGGCAGCAGAGATGTAGGCATACCCTCTTACCCTGAGGAAAGTAACTTAATTCAGAGAAAAGTTTTTTTTTTTTTAATTTTTTTTTTCAACGTTTATTTATTTTTGGGACAGAGAGAGACAGAGCATGAATGGGGGAGGGGCAGAGAGAGAGGGAGACACAGAATCGGAAACAGGCTCCAGGCTCTGAGCCATCAGCCCAGAGCCTGACGCGGGGCTCGAACTCACGGACCGCGAGATCGTGACCTGGCTGAAGTCAGACGCTTAACCGACTGTGCCACCCAGGCGCCCCGACATTGACATTTTAAATGATAGAGTTTAAGTTGCTATACTTGCGTGAGTTGGTGATTATTATTTTCAGGACTTCAAAAAAAGATGATCAATCTTTTTTCACTTCTGTTGTTCTACATTACCATCTTCTTTTCTCTACCTTTGTATTCTTTTACCTGTCTATGTAGGTACTGAAAGTAAAGATTTTTCTGTTTATAAAACTTTTCTCGGGGCGCCTGGGTGGCGCAGTCGGTTAAGCGTCCGACTTCAGCCAGGTCACGATCTCGCGGTCCGTGAGTTCGAGCCCCGCGTCAGGCTCTGGGCTGATGGCTCAGAGCCTGGAGCCTGTTTCCGATTCTGTGTCTCCCTGTCTCTCTGCCCCTTCCCCGTTCATGCTCTGTCTCTCTCTGTCCCAAAAATAAATAAACGTTGAAAAAAAAAAATTAAAAAAAAAAAAATGTCAATGTCAACAAATTTCAGAGCTGGAAGTCCTCAGACCATCCATTCTAACTTCCTTATTTCCCAGAGAAGAAAATGTGACTAAGACTTAAGGGATTTGGTCAAGATTGCACAATTGACTGCAGGACAGGGATTAGAATCCTGATTTCCTTCCTTTCGTATTGCTACACAATTTATTTAAAGTCTCAGGACTGTACCCAAAATATGTTATGTTTCTACTTGGTAAAAGTACAGATTTCATTAAAATTTACAGAAATTTTCTGGAATAGCAAAATATTATCAGTAGTTATCTCCCAATAATGAGATTGTAGGTGATTTCCAGTTTCTTACTTTTGATTATCAGTATTTAAAAATTTTCAGACGGAGGCATATTAGCTGACTGCAAAAAAACAAAAAACCAAAAAAACTGAACTAAAGATATATATACTCCATGAGACTAATGAAAGATTACTTACTTTCCTAATGTCATCTAAACTAGTAATTTCAGGCGACATCCCTCCATGTACACACAGAAACTGCTGGTTTAAGAGGGCAGCAAGAGGAAGACAGTCAAATGTCTCCATACACGCATCATACACCTGTTCAGAATATTTGATTCGACCTATCAAAAAAGGAAAAACAGTCAAAGGAAGAAAAGCTAAAATTTACCATTATAGGACAGAAAATTATGAAGCTACTTCAAAGCCATTTATTTCAGGCAAATTTGAAATCACAGTCATCTTTATAAAAATACTCTTGAGAAGTTGTGGATAAAAGGTAAAAAAAAATCTCCTTAAAGACAAGTGTGACCTTGGATTAACTTTCTATCTCTTTTGCCCTGGAAACCTGATAAGGTGAATGTCAGCTGTGTTACTAGGCAACATTGCTTATGGTAAAAATCACTCAATTACCTGGTGGGAAGCTATAGCTTTGAACTTCTGAGTGGGATGACTCAAGGTATGTCCCTAGGGGACCCTGGAATCTATACCGATAAAGCTTCTATGGGAGATATTAGCAGTTGTACTATATGAGGCTTCTAACCCATGGTGGCTCCCTGATCTGCACAATGTGGATGTTGTTTTCCTGCACCTGAGCTGTGACTTGGAGGAGGTTGGGGAAGGAAGAAGTGAAAGGCAGAAAACCTTTGGACTGCTATACCCACTCCTATGAGGACTACTCCACTGAAAAGGGATGCCTAGCACTGCCCCTTCCTGGACTGTATCCTCCTAAGTAGATGAATGCCAGTATGGCCCCTGGCAGTCCTGTAAGCCTGAATATTTTGTTGGGTCTAAAAAGACTCCTTGGGGGTACTGAAGACATGCAAGTGAAAACTGATGTTTTAGGAGTAATCAACAAAAGGGGAGCCTGGGTGGCTCAGTTGATTGGGTGTCTGAGACATTGGCCTAGGTCATGATCTCGCCATTCCCAAGTTCGAGCCCAGCATCGGGTTCTGTGCTGACAACTCAGAGCCTGGAGCCTGCTTTGGATTCTGTGTCTCCATTCTCTCTCTGCCCCTCTCCCACTCATGTTCTGTCTCTCTCTTTCTCTCTCAAAAATAAACATTAAATTAAAAAAAAAGAGTAATCAATAAAATATCAATAATCTTTGCTCATGATTTTTAAAGTCTTTAAGTAAATTTTGTCCTGATTCTATTTTATGTAAAAATGCTCATCTTAATGAATTGTATTTTGATGTGGTTGTCATGTTGGTGCTAAAGAACAAGGAAATACTCCAGTGAGCAGAGGGTAGGGTCTCCACAATTATCCAGAAAGAATCCATCATGAACTAACAGATGAGAAACTGAAAGATGGCTTTAGTTTAAAAAGAAAGGGAATATTTTCTTCTTCTTTGGCCTTGGATTTCAGAGTCAAGTCATGCTTGGAAGGGCATGTTGGTAGAGAAGGCCAAAGATCATACAGGCAGGCAGCCCTACAGAACTGAGCTCCTCCTCTTCCAAGATTCTGTGAAGATGAAACAGAGCCTACAGGACCTAGAGCTACAAAGCTACAGCAAGCGAGTTAGATTATGCAGTTGATAACTATTTGTGTATTTCCTTCTTGTATTTAAGTATCAGCGCCTGGTTGTGGCAAGCCATGGGAGAATAAAGTGAAAGGTAATGGTCTAAATTTGGGCCAGAGTACAATGCATGGTTGACAGACATGTCTGGAGAGACATTCCTAAAGGGAAGGTATAAACCAAGAGACCATATTTGAGGTTATAAAGCTTTCTATCCTTGAATGTGAAGATTTTCTCTTTATTGTCAAGATTTGAGGACACTAAGGGAGTTTGTGGGTTCCTTTAAATTTTTTTTTTTCAACGTTTATTCATTTCTGGGACAGAGAGAGACAGAGCATGAACGGGGGAGGGGCAGAGAGAGAGGGAGACACAGAATCGGAAACAGGCTCCAGGCTCCGAGCCATCAGCCCAGAGCCTGACGCGGGGCTCGAACTCACAGACCGCGAGATCGTGACCTGGCTGAAGTCGGACGCTTAACCGACTGCGCCACCCAGGCGCTGTGGGTTCCTTTAAAAACTTTCAGAGCATTCTCTATTACATGACAGCAGTTCGGATCATCTATTTCACAACATATGCTAACTCTATTATGACAACCAAGTTAATAGGAGCCAGATCTTAGGCATCTTTACATCTCCTTACAATTACATCCTTATATTCTTTTTATTTGAACACTATTAAATTTTGGCTATTATGAAAGTAGATTCATATTGGCCATAAAGTCTATGTAAGAAAAAAAATCAAACAAAAAATCCTTTCATTTGTGGCCAGTGATTGACTTTTTCTCCTGAAAATCCTTGTAGCCAGAGTTCCCTCTGTTGTCAATGTCAATAAGAAATTCCCTTATAAGGGGCAGCCTGCGTGGCTCAGTCAGTTGAGTGAATGACTCTTGATTTCAGCTCCAGTCATGATCTCGCAGTTTGTGGGATCAAGCCCCGCACTGGCCTCTGCTGTGACAGCACGGAGATTCTTCGTGCTTGAGATTCTCCCTCTCTTCTCTCTGACCCTCCCCTTACTCCTGTGAGCACGTGTGCTCTCTCTCTCTCAAAATAAATAAACTTAAAAAAAAAAAAAGAAATTCCTCTGTAAGAGTCTTAAGCTTGCATATAGGCAGGGATTTTTTTTAAATTGAAGTACAGCTGACATGCAATGTCATATTAGTTTCCGACGTACAACAGGGTGATTCAACAATTCTACACATTATGCAATGTTCACCATGATAAGACTAGTTGTCACCTTCATCATATAGTTATTACAATATTATTGACTATATGCTCTATGCTATACTTTTCATCCTTGTGACTTATTTATTTTCTAACTGGAAGTTTGTATCTCTTTTTTTTTTTTTTATTTATATATGAAATTTATTGTCAAATTGGTTTCCATACAACACCCAGTGCTCATCCCAAAAGGTGCCCTCCTCAATACCCATCACCCACCCTCTCCTCCCTCCCACCCCCCATCAACCCTTAGTTTGTTCTCAGTTCTCAACGGAAGTTTGTATCTCTTAATCACCTTAACCCATTTGGTCCATTCTCCCATTTGTTTCCCCTCTGGCTACAGATTTGTTCTATGTAATGAGTCTGTTTGTTTCTGTTTTGTTTTTCAGATTCCACATATAAGTGAAATCATGGTATTTGTCTTTCTCTGTCTGATTCTCTGATTCATTTCACTTAATATAATATCCTCTAAGTCCATCTATGTTGTAACAAATGGCAAGATTTCATTCTTTTTTTTACGGCTGAGTAATATTCCTGTGTGTGTGTGTGTGTGTGTGTGTGTGTGTGTGTGTGTGTGTCTGTCTTCTTTATATATTTATCTTATCAAGGGACACTTGTGTTGCTTCCATATCTTGACTACTGTAAATAGTGCTACAATAAACATAGGGGTGCATTTATCTTTTTTTTTTTTTTTTTTTTAATGTTTATTTTTATTTTTGAGACAGAGAGAGACAGAGCGTGAAGAGGGAAGGGGCAGAGAGAGAGGGAGACACAGAATCTGAAACAGGCTCCAGGCTCTGAGCTGTCAGCACAGAGCCCGACGCGGGGCTCGAACTCACAGACAGTGAGATCATGACCTGAGCCGAAGTCGAACGCTTAACTGACCGAGCCACCCAGGCGCCCCTGCATTTATCTTTCAAATTAGTGTTTGTGTTTTCCTTGGGTAAGTATCTAAGTGATAGAATTATTGGATCGTATGATACTTTTATTTTTAATTTTTTAAGGAAACTCCATAGTGTTTTCCATACTGGCTGCACCGATTTACACTCCCATCAACAGAATCCAAGGGTTCCCTTATCTCCCCACCTTTGCCAACACTTGCTATTTCTTGTCTTTTTGATACTAGCCATTCTGACTAGTGTGAGGTGATATAGCTCATTGTGGTTTTGATTTGCATTTCCCTGATGATTAGCGATGTTGAGCATCTTTCCTGTGTCTGTTGGCTGTATGTAGGTCTTCTTTGGAGAAACCTCTATGAATGACTCAAAAAATTCCTTAGCTTACTTCCAAAAGAATACCAAATCTAGAGAAAGATGGCAAGCAATACAGTATCTTACCTCCATTTTGTACATTAAAACAGGAGGTTACACAAGAAATAAGTGTTGGTGAGGATGTGAAGAAAAAGTAACCTTTGTGCACTGGTGGTGGGAATGCAAACTGGTGCAGCCACTGTGGAACACAGTATGGAGGGTCTTCAAAAAATTAAAAATTGAACTACTCCATGATCCAGTTATCGCACTACTGGGTATTTACCCAAAGAATACAAAAACACTAATTTGAAAGGATATATTCACTCTTACATTTACTGCAGCATTATTTACAATAGCCAAATTATGGAAGCAGCCCAAGTGTCCATCAACAGATGGATAAAGATGTAATACACACACACACACACACATACACACACACACACACACACACACACACAGGAATATTATTCAGCCATAAAAATAAGGAAATCTTGCCATTTGCAATGACATGGATGGAGCTAGACAGTATAATGCTAAGTAAAATAAGTCAGTCAGAGAAAGAAATATCATATGATTTCATTTATATGGAATTTAAGAAACAAAAGAAAAAAGAGAGAGAGACAGAGAAACAAACCAAGAAACTGACTCTTAACTATAACAAAGAACAAACTGATAGTTTCCAGAGGGGAGGTGGATAGGGGGATGGGTGAAACAGATAAAGGGATTATGACTTATCAGGACTCCTGGTGGCTCAGTTGGTTGGGTGTCTGACTTCTGCTCAGGTTATGATCTCATGGCAAATAGGTTTAAGCCCCACGTAGGGCTGTGTGTTGATAGCTCAGAGCCTGGAGCCTGCTTCAGATTCTGTGTCTCCCTGTGTCTCTGCCCCTCCCCGACTCGGGCTCTGTCTCTCTCTCCCTCCCTGTCTCTCAAAAATAAGCAAACATTAAAAAAATTTTTAAAAAGAGTACACTTATGATGAGTACTGAGTAATGTATAGAATTGTTGAATCACTATATTGTACACATGAAACTAAGATAACGCTACATGTTAACTATACTGAAATTAAAATAAAATAATTTGATAAAATTTTTTCAAAAACCCAGGAGATGATGAATCAAATTAAGCAAAAAGGAGTT